AGGCCAGTCTGCACTTCGTCGGTTTGGGGGACCGAACAAGACTGGCCATTGGGTCGTGTCAACAAGGCAGAGAAGGAGAAGAAGGCCGCGGAGGAGAAGCTCCAGAAGCCAGTCGTCACGGCCGAGGACAAGCAGTAGAAATTCCGAAAGGCGCTTCTGGACGAACATCGGGAGCGCCTCGAGGCTCAACTGAAGGAGGGGCGGCAAAGGCTCTCCAAAGAGAAAATGGAGCGGGTGCGGGTGGAAAGCATCGTCACGGAAGTGGAGAGACAAGCTGCCAAGGCCAAAAAGAAGGCTCTCGAGGTGGAGGCGAAAGCTGCCGAAGCCCTAGCTTCAGCAGTGGAGTCAAAGAAGGCAGCGGCCGAGGCAATATAGGTGTATAAGAAGTCTTCCGACTACTTGGATGCAATGACGAAGTATGCTTCATCGTTCTACCTCGATGGCATTGAAGATACCAAGAATGCACTCCTATTGGTGCTGCCAGATTTTGATGTCGAGGGACTGCAAGTGATCCCTGACACTCCTGCCGAGGTTCAACCAACCGAAGGCACCGTTCCCCCTTCTGCCAATGACGAGGCATAGGCGTAGACTTTTTCCCATTTTTTTATCGTTGTAATACTTTCCATTTTTTTTTGTGAAGGCAATACAAAATTTTTGTAAAGGCTATACAAGACCAACACAAAATTTTTGTGAAGGCAATACAACATGTTTTGTGCATGTTGTCTCTTCCCCTTTCTCTTTCTCTCTCTTTCTTTTTTTTTTTGTGAAAGGTCATTGCCCCTCCGAAAGGTTGAAACCACGATACACAAGGCACACACGATTCAGTCATAGTATTTGTTTATTTGCACACTTGTATCGACTTGTCGGGATATTGGGAGCTGAGGCGGAGTCATACGCCCGAGGCAGGGCTCACCTGGCTTCCAAATCCCGTGCTATCCCAGGCGATGCTGAAGAGACCTAGCATCCTGGCCGTGGTCTAGGGCCGAAGTATACCGCCAAGGTACTTGGGTGGATGAAGAGCCATGGTGGAGTAGCAACATCGGGGTGCAGCTCCCCTGACTCGTTCTTACCAAGTGTTTTCTTGGGGGAGGCCGAGGCATTCCACCAGCGAAGCCGAGGGCTCTGTCTCGTTATTTTCTTTGCGCTAAGTGCAAATTGCCAAGGGGGTCACCACACTCCGAGGTGACGAGGTGACGGGGTGAGGTGAAGAGGAACTTTGCTTCATTCGTTCATTCATTACTTTCATCAAAAAATTACATTCATCTGTAATACATCCGGAGGTTCTCCGAGTTCCACGTCCGAGGGATGAGTGTTCCATCTAAGTTTTCTAGCCAAAATGTGTCGGGGCCGAGAGCTTGCTTAATCCGGTAAGAGCCTTCCCAGTTGGGGCCCAGCTTTCCTACTCCAGGTTCGGAAACCATGACCTTCCTAAGGACAAGGTCTCCCTCCCTGTAGTGCCTTTCTTTCACTCTGGAGTTGTAGTAGCAGGTCACTCGCTGCTGATAGATGGTCATCCTAATTTGTGTTTGTTCTCGGGTTTCTTCTATCGGGTATAAGTTTGCTCTAAGCGCCTCATCATTCTCGGCCTCGCTATACCCTTGGATCCGAAGCGTTGGTTAGCTAATCTCCGTTGGGATCACTGCTTTCGTACCGTAGGTCAGGCCGAAAGGAGTTTCTCTCGTCGTTGTCTGATGTGTGGTTCGGTATGCTTAGAGGACGCTGTGTAGTTCATCGGCCCACATGCCTTTAGCTCTATCCAACCTGATCTTTAGTCCGTCCAGTATGGTTCTGTTCGTGACCTCGGCCAGTCCGTTTGTCAATAGGTATCCCACCAAGGTGTATTGTTGCCTGATACCGAGGGAGGTGCACCATTCTCAAAATTTAGCGTCATGAACAAGCATGTAGGGGATTGTGTTGTATGACTTAAAAAAGGATAAAATTAAATTTTAAAATTATAAAAAGATCAAAATGTATTACATAGTAACATGCTATAATTGATCCTTCCATAAAAAGTTACATATTTACATGAGAGAGAGTAGAAAGAGAGAGAATTGCATATATACGTAGAGAGCACGTATTTTCTTTTTCTCTTTTAAAAATTCGTTGAACTTAGAGAATGGATATTCATTCCCCCACCTGTCCATCAAACACAAAAAGCATTGAATGGATATAAACAGTAACAAGTCGGTCACCATTCACGACAAACCATCGTATTAAAATTTTGTTTGGTCTCCATTTCTTGATAAGGATCCCTATTTTTTTATGGCAATCTCTGTTTTATTAACTATCCTCATGAAATTTTTTGAATTGTTTAGGTGCGGAGGCCAATCACAAAAAAATGACCTTTAATTTAGCAGCAACAGATATAGAGAGGAGTTGGGTTTATAAAAGCCTAATAAATCTTGCTAGGAAGAATTGGCACATGCAAATATAAAAGAGAGAGTATGATATCGTTCAATTTGTGTAATTAATTTGAACCATATGATCTAGAGTACTAAATACCCTCTAAACCTGTCACCAAACAGTAATCTGGTGGTTTGATATCTACATTTGTGGCATCATAGATATTGTCATATAAATAATTAATAGATATATATAGGATTCCACTATGATATGGAAAAGATATAATATCTGAAAATTTTGTGATGAATCAATTAGAATTATAAAAGTGATAGCCAATCAGGTGTTATTTATCAAAATTTATGAGTGAATTTTGATTGATCAAAACTCTTTCCATACCATATCTTTTCCGCACCATAGATTTTTCCATATACCCAAGATCTAATATCATCATCTCCTATGCAATTAAAATGCCAAAGCGCCGGTGACTATTGTTGAAATTACGTCATTCGGTTAGGTGTTTGCCATATAAATGATTAAATGACTTGATAATAATATCAATCTCGTAAGTCGTAATTGATTGATTTCTAGGAATTATATAAATCAGTTGATAATATTATCAATACTGTAATTGAGTTCTATGAATTCCACCCGTGCATGTAACTTAAAAAATACATAGTAAGTTCTAGAGGCGTTTTACAAGATGAAAGCTTTCGTTTTCATTTGTTTTTTAAATCATCACATCAGCAAAAAAAATCAAAATATGTTCTTGAACTCTGTTTTTGTTCTTAAAGAAAATAATAAGTTGATTTTGTTTCAAAAATACAATACATGTTTTAATTTTGGAGCCATCAAAATAATAGCTTTTAAAATAAAAAACAAATTTGTTAATATATAAGTTAGGAAAAATCTATGATGTGGAAAAGATATGGTATGGGAAGAGTTTTGACCAATTAAAATTCACCCATGAATTTTGATAAATAACACATGATTGGCTATCAGATTTATGATTTCAATTGACTGGTCAGAAAATTTTCAGATATTATATATTTTCCATATCATAGTCAAACCCTATAAGTTATATAGCATGATATCAAATAATCAGATGAGAACATGTTTTTGAAACCAGAAATTCAGGGACATTTTTTTGTATTTTTTTTTTAAACAATTTGTTTTCAAAGCAGATAGTTTTGATTTGTTTCTAAAACCAGCAACAACAAAAAAAAAATCATGTTGTATATATAAGACCCCCCCTCAATGGTGGTGGAAAAGTTTTCATCCAATAAGGAACTTGTCATTTTATCCAGAATAAGAGAAGGGGTGCCCAAGCATTCTCTGATTTCATTCATATGTAGCATTAGCATAGATAAGTCGTCCAATTCCAAGGGTCAGTATCATACGTTATTGGTCCCTAGTTCGGATTTCCTACCCACAAACTCTTCCCTAGTTCGGATTTCCTACCCACAACCCCTTTTATTAGAGGTGTAATTTTTTTTTTTTTCAAAAGAAAATATATTAAACATTCAGATCAGAAATACATGGAGTTTCCTGGCTGAGTGGCTGCCCTCGGTGGAGACATTATATGCTAGGTTATGAGTAACAGAGATTGACATTCTATTAATATGATTAATACCAATATTATCAAAAGAACTCAAAAGAGACATAACATGATCTTTCAAGTAACTTGTCTCCCAGTGTTCTTCCATATTACCGTTGATAGCTTCCATGATGCCTAAATAGTCCTAAAAAACTTGAATAGATTTGATACTTAGGCTGACTGCTTTCTTCAATCCCTCGATCAAAACCCATCACTCAGATTGGGCTGCAAAAACAGTTGTTAGATTCCTTGATAAAATAACATATCCAATAGCAGATTTCCCTGTTTATGCAGTAAACATGATGCCAGTAGCTTAAAAGGAATGGGCCATGCTGCCCGCGATCCATGTGCCAGCATGCCACATAGTTCATATATATAATTTTATTTTATTATTGCATATGAACAAGTATATACATCAAAATTCATATAATATAAAATTTTAATATATTTTTTTAATTTTTTGTCTATTTTATTAATTTATTGCAAAAAAAAAATTATTATTTTTAATTTAAAAAAAAAAAATACCTCTCATGGATCAGCCTAATCCGACCCAAGGCTCAGCCTACGAATAAGCCTGATTCGTGGCATGGCACGGCACAGCCCGGGCCTATTTGGCCTGTGCCATAGGTCGTTCCTCTTAAGTATCTCAATTTGATACTTAAGAGGAACGACCTATGTTTCAGTGTGTAGTGTGTGGTGTGTGGAACTACTTGTTTCAGTGTGTAGTTCGACCGACACTTGTGTTTTTTATTTGCCGACGTACAGGGATAAGACAAGATTAATTGGTAAAGAAAAGAGCACGTGCTTTTCGTTCTTTATTTATTTTTATTTGCCAAGGTGTTTTTCATCCACTGAACGTAGAGATTCCTCCCTTTTATTGTGGATAAGATTTCTCCATTTCCTTTCTCCGCTTCACTAGCCAAATAATCAAAATCTCTCTCAATCTGTGTATAGATGGGGACATGAGACAAATGGAAGGATGAACTTGCGTTGCTCCCTAGTCGATCTCCCACACACTTACTATTAGCTCCGTCGTCTATAAAAGCCCAACTAATGTAAGAAAGGTAGACATATATACTCACTTAGATACGAAGAGAGAGAGAGAGAGAGATGGGTGTGAAAGTTGTGGCAGTGGTTGTAATAGCAGCTGTTGTGGCAATATGTGCTGGTGGAGCAGATGGTAGGGTGGATATGTCATCCTTCCTCGGCTCGGTGGGCATTCAAGGTGAGAAAATTAATTTATTGTGATAATGAATGGGCTTTAAAATTTGAGTGTTTGTTTTGCAATTAATCTCTAAAATGAAGTGGTTGTTTTGTGGAGGTTAGCAGTGGGAGATAAGACGTCGTCGGAGGCATGCTGTGATACATGCTACTGTACAAAATCCAATCCTCCAATTTGCAGGTGTGCAGACATTAAGGAATACTGCCATTCAGCTTGCAAGCAGTGTATTTGTGCCCTTTCCTATCCTCCTCAATGCCGCTGTGTCGACACCAACAACTTCTGCTACGACCCTTGCACCACCACTAATAAGAACCAACACCTCCTCAATGTTCTGTTCTAATTATCAACTAATAGCAGCTATCATGCACGCTGCATATGCCTACCTACCTTACCTATAATAAGGCATTAGCAATTACTCTTGTTGCTAACCCTCGCCCTACTATTAAATAAATTAAAACTCTCTTCTGTTGTACTCCTCCTACCTCCTACCTATGTAGCTACTTTAATTTCTAGTTTCTACTACTAATAATAATACCCTCCATCGCTCTTATTCTATATATGATTTCTGTGTTGTCACACTTAATTTGTTTAATTAGTTATTCCATTCTACTTCTACCTAATATGCATAATATCAGTAAATAAATAATCAAACTTCAACAACTACTACTAATAACCAACCTAATTAAAATTATGGAGAACAGAAAATTAAAGACCATGGGCAAGGTCTGAGGACTGAGGACTGACTACTGAGAGGCGCTCTATGATATGATGCATGAGATTTAACAGCAAATCCAGATTCTCTAGCTACACGCTCTGAGCAAATCTCGATTCTCTAATCCGCTGGATTATCCTGTGACATCCAATTATTTTTTAGCACGGCACTCATGATAAACATTTCATAGTCAACGATAACTACGACCATAATGGATGGAACTTGTTAAAAGGTATAATTTGGGTTACAAAAAGCAAAAAAAACTAACCCTCTTCAATCTCCATAGTCTCTGTTCTGTCTTCGACAGACATCATAAGCTAGCTCAGAGCTAAAATCGGTAACTTTGTTTCAAAGATTACCATCACCAACCATGATGGAAATACTTAAGTGGTGGTTGAGTGTGGAGCGAATCTGCTCTTATTGTCATTCTCGTTGGCATCATCTTCATTTGGAAATCATAAGTATAACCAATTTGATGCATTCCATAACTGAAACCAGATAAAGGTTGAACCTACCAAATACCATATGCCAAGATTTGATGCACTTACAGATGCATGGCCCATTTTCAGTAACATTGTTATGTCATCTCACGTGAATGACTTTCAACTTCGTGGTCTTTTCTTGTTTTTCTCTTATTTATCAAAAAAAAAAGCCCCAATTTGAAAGGAGTATGAGTGAAAACCCGGCCTAGGCTCAATACCACATCAGAAACGGAAATTTTGCGAGCCAGATATTCCCCACGGGCTTGGGCCTGAACCTGGTGGCAGGAGAGATGTTGAAAATACAAATTGCTGTGTACAATATAAATAGTTCAGTAGCGGAAAAAAAAAGGGGTTCAATATAAATGGTTAAAATACAAAGGAAAATATATAATATTTACCCCATAAGATAAAGAAAAAGGAACAATAGGCAGTAGCTGCTACAACTAGCCTACAATCCAAAACCCAATAATTCCATTTTATGGTATATGATAAGTTTGGAACAATAGGAAGAATGATGGTTGAACCCAGGGTTAGAACTCATACGCACAAAGTACAGTTGGGGTAGGTGACAACTTGAAATTAATGTTAATTCACGGGTGCACATTGGTGCATAAAGTAAGAATAATTGACCTCTTGAAATATTGTAGATCTACGATGGAAATCAGAATTCTGCAATGGGTCAGAATTCTGCAAATGGGAGAATGACGTTCAGACCAGGGTCAGAATTCATAGGCACAAAATATAGTTGGGGTAGGTGCCAATTCACTGGCAGGTATGCAGGTATGGGTGCATAGATTGTGGTTTTTTGACCATTTGAATGTTTATAGATTTACAGTGAAAAAGAAATCTGCATTAGGCCTGTCCGTACTTTTCCGCAAACAAATTAAACGATGTCATTGATTTATGATTTATAACAGTAGAATACAAAAACAAGCATCGATGAATCAAAAATCAAAGAGCTTCCAATGACCAAAATAACACAAAATCAGGTAGTAAACTGGAGACTTCGATTAATTCCACTCGCAACAAGATATTCTTTTCTTCGGTTTTTAGTAGTCGTATTATGGTGGCCATTATTATGTGAAAGAGACCCTCCTTTTTTGATCAAACTGCAAGCAAGAACTGGTTGATAGGAGTCCTGCAAATCCCTTTGACAGACTACCTTCAACTGCACATGGCGAGTTGTTTGAGGATGCCAACGGGCTATTATTCTTAACTATTTCCATGTAGTCATCTGTAGCATTACCAGGTGGATTATCCTCCCAGTACTCTGGTTTATGAGCTGGAGAAATTCTACTTCTCTTAGAATTCAATGAAAGCTCTGCATGTGAGGATTTCCAACAGGGAGATTTTGATGATTCAAATTCAGGCTGATCAAAGTCCATAAGCAACTTCCTCTTCGAACCAGAGAAAACATTCAATCCTGAAAAATATAGCAGCATTAAATCCTAGGACTAAGTTTTCTTCTTACGCTCCATTGTAAAAGAATAAAGACAATTTGATAATTTTTAAGATTGTCAGGCATACCAGGAAGAGAGTCATCAGATATGCATGGTTCAGCTTCCGGGTCACCACAGTTACAGCCACAACTCAGAGTGCTGCAAGCATTGGAACGGGTGACTCTGCAACATATGAACAACAAAGAAGAAAAAGGAAATAAATGCTGGGCATATGTTGAAGGAAAAGCAAAAGTGATCTGAAGGAAATCTTCAGCATGCCAAGCGAGGCAAACCAAGATATTTTATTTGGAACGACCTCGGAGAAATTATGCACCCAGGTGACCTACTAGGACAAAGGGCCCACATCCCAGCACTTCCCCACACATTGGGGTTTTTCAAAATTGGAGTCATGCACCCTCCTCCCGCAACCCAAAAAAAAATAAAAAGAAAGAAAAAGTGCCTCCAGCACTATAATCAAGTTTCAGCATCTAACAGACCATCTTCAAGCAAGTACATGACATACCCAATTCATGCTGCTTGTATGATATTAAAATAGCAGGATATTAAATCTCTTAGGAAAAACAAAGCAGATTCTAACATGGATGCTTATATCCTCCTAAAGTAAACCTTGGATTTGTAACCAGTATTCCTGTTTTCTAAGCCAGGTCAGGATCTACTAATCATCCCAATTTGAAAATAAAGTGAACCTATAGCACCTAACAGAACAGTTATTTAATAAAATAATTACATAAAAATAAATAGCTTGTTTCATTTGATTTGCGTAACAGCCATGGCATGGAACTTGGATCATATTCTTCTTCCTCTTCCCTGCTACCTCTCAAAGTCAAAACAAGAATACAATATTCAGACTGCAAACCATTCTCTCCAGTCAAATGGATCAAAGATCTTTCTTATAGTGATTGGCAAGGCAAGAAGGATTCAGTTCCATTGTACTTCCCATAAGCTACAGATTCCTTAGGAAAATCCCAATGCTGAAGGAATGGGAAACTGAGAAAAATACAACCCTCTAATTTGATTGTTAAAATGCTCTTATGACAGCGTAGATAAAGCAGACAGTGCAACCAATCCACCCTTTTTTTTTTGTTATGCAATTCACCTGTATTAATCATTACTACATAATTATATCTGATTAGGATAAAAATTTCCAAAATATTATTAATAATTATTTAAACTAAAAAAAAGGATTTCAAAATATAAAATCCAATTGGGAAAATGGGGATAGAGAGAAAAAAAAAACTAGAAAAGAATTGACCAAGGATCAAAATATCAATACGTCCAATACACCCAAAGTTGGGTATTGGTGCGTATCAATGACTGATGCTCTCCTTTTTTTTACTTTTTTGATTCTATAACCATTAGGGGGTAGGGAAAGAGACCTCCAAACTTTTTAAACATAGTTGTCAAGGCGACGCCTAGGAAACAAGGCACCCTTGGAGGCTCACCTCGCCCAGTCGCCTAGCAGTTTTGTATACTGTACAAACATTGCTAACTGCTGTATTGAACCCTCAAAGACTTCAGAATTTGAACCAATAAGGGAAAAACTTAATGTTTTGTCTAATCAACACATTTCTTCCTCCACTTCTTCTTCTTCTCCTCCTCCTCCTTCCACCTTTTCTTTTCTTCTTTTCCTGTAACAAAAATAGGGGTTCAGTCCCCATATTTTTTGAATTTTCTTTTCTTTTTTCTTTTTCTTCTCATAAATATGTTGATTTTCTAGACATAAACATGAAGTTTATAATTTTCTCATGAAAATTATGGATAGTTATTAAGAAAATATGGTTATGGACCTAGGGAACTACCTAGGATATGTATTTTTCACTTAAAAAAGTCCATCGCCTAGGCGACTAGGCGACAAGGCGCCCCATGTCACCTAGCCTTGCCTTGGCGCCTTGAAAACTATGTTTTTAAATATTTTAAAACATTTATGTATCAGTGGTATCCATGCTTATCTGGATGTGATGATATGGATATGATACACCCCGTATCTGGAATATCGTATCGATATTTTATCCTTGATTATGGAATGTGTTTGAAGCATTTATATGGGAAAATATGGTAGCCTAATGTCTCTATTTATTTAAGTTTAAGAAATTTTAATTTTTGGTCCACTTGGAAGACTTCTTGACATATGCCAAAATGCCTATTCATGACCTGGAGCTCTTGATACCAGTATACCACTGTTGATTAACAGTGCTGATCACCTATGCTACCTAGATACTTATAAGGTGGTGCCATATCATTTCAGATGCTTCAATTTTTAATGTAAATTTCATATACAACACCTTATCCAGTTGTGTTCTTGTCATATCTGGGCAACATGGTTTATCATTACACAACAAAAGCTCATTTTAGAGTAACAAATTTTGTTTACTTTCAATGAATTTAACTATTGGAATTTTTCCAAATCATTCACACAATGACCTTGTCCAGCCAAGTATATTATAGATTTGAAATTTAACTATTGGAATGATCACAGTTTTTTTTTCTTCAACTTGTTCCAATACATTCCAAGTCCATAATAGACAATTTGATTTTTAGTGGGAAGAAAAAAGAACGCTCAACACTTTATCCATGCCAAGATAATGTACACAGGGTTTTGGTAAGATGGTACTGTGTCAAGATCTTGACAGAAATGTTTCCTCAAAGGAAACTTCCCTTGGAACCATGCAGGAATTGCAAATTTCCCTGTAAGGTTTCCATAGTGCTTCCCTGGAACCATGTTAATATTGTGTCAAAAAAAATCGATGACATCTCATGGTTTAAGCACGAATCATCAAGAACTGACTGGGCTGTAGTTTTTTTCTTTTTTTGTTTTTTTTATCAGTTCTGACATGCAGTAGTTATGATAATGGATAACCTGAAATGTAAGGCCAGCCAACCAGGGAAATTCAAGGTAGATTCTCATGGCCCAAATGTACAAACATCCACAATGGGGTATAACAAACCATTCCATTATTACTATTATTTTTTTTTTTTTTGAAAAGTGAATTTTCTGAATTGACATTCAAAGGGGTCAGATAGCTTTGGGCAGAACAAGCTTCAAATAATATTTGTTACTAAAAAGCATCAAGTACAAATTTTATTATGGAAAAGAAATCAAACCTGTACATATGTTCAACAAAATCATCTATAAGTACAGGCCAGGCACCTGCAAAACAGTCAAGTACCAAAAAAAAACCATATATAAAAATACCCAAAACAAATGAACAAAAAACTTGTAATTATGCATAGACAAGTGGGGGTAACAACTGAAATGATATTCTAAGATTATGATTCATATTTATACAGGTCAAAATTTACTGGTCCAGATTGAAACCAACTTATGTCCACATGCAATTTAGACAAGAACAGAAGGGCCAGGCAAGGCATGCCCACCCACTTCAAGTTAAAGTAGCTTAGCCAGGATTGCAGCAAACTGTGCTGCTGCATGTAAACATTAAATTGAATTCTGGAGGGTGCTTAATTCAGTTTCAGAGGTAAAGCCAATATAGTAATGCTAAAAGTTGTATTCATGAATTCTAACTTGCAATACAACCGACTCCCAAAGAAAGGGGGCAAAAATCAAAATATAAAGCAAAGGTGTAAAAACATCATTCAAGATTGTAGGTGCATACGATGGCTAAACTTTGAAAATAATACCTTTAGGATCATACCCTTCAAGATCTTCATGTACACACCGACTAAATGCTAGAACTTGTTGCCAGGTATCCTCTGAGATATTATGCCTTTGATTTTTCTAAATGCAATTCAATATATTAGTTACCTTGACAGGAATAGAATGAAAGACAATAAATTCATCATATCATTCAGAACCTTTATTCATATGTCCACACCAAAGTATCTAAGACTATATATTTCACAGACAAGCAGGAAGACCCCATTCAGAGTGGAAAATAAAGAAATTTTGCCATCACTAACCCAAACTACATACTCCAATTGCGATATGTAGAATGAAAATTTGACCAAGGTCATTGCAGAAGATAGTACCCCTAGGTGAAAGATTCCCATGAAGGTGAAAAATTAACTATGGGAATCGCCAAACACAACTTTGATAAGACTTTTAGGCCCCATTTGTTTTTCAGAAAGCTATTTACCTGGGTGCACTTACCCAAGTAAACTTACCTGTGTTCATTTGCTTCTCAGGTAAATTATGCAACGACTCTTTTATCCATAAAAAGTCGTTGTTAGAATGGGCAAAATTGTCCCAACACATCTTGTCAACTTATCCCCTAGGCATAGTTGTCAAGGCAACGCCTAGGCGACTAGGCAATTTTTAGAAGTCACCTCGCCCAACACCCAGGTGTTTTAGTATTGAGCGCTCACCCATATATATGTTATACTATTTTTTTGAATGTGCATATGTATTATATCATTTTATTGGTTTGTTTTATCTTATTAGAATAGACCCTGTTGTATATTATCATTTTTTTATTAAAGTAATTCTCTTTTACATTAAAACTACGAAAGTTTCTTTGGGTTTGAGAATTTGAGTTTTGAACCGAGAGCTGAGAAGTTTCCATTGCTCAGTCCAAGTAGTCCAAGACCTCCAGGTACGTTTTTTCCTTCTTCTTCTTGAAATATTTTTGGGATGAAACAGGGGCTCTGCTTCCTCCTCCTCCTCCTTCCTAAAATCACACTGGTACTCCTTCTTTCTTACTTTTAACAATCCTCCATTTTTTTTAGCCTGAAACTGGGTCTCCACCCCCTTAAACACAGTCCACATCGTCCTCTTGGACAACTTATGTTGGGAATGAAACAGGGGCACTGCCCCCTTATTTTTCGCTCTTTTCTTGTCTGCAATCCCCCATTTTTGTTGGCCTGGATGCTAGCTATGGCATTTTATGTTTTATTCGAATGATTTTATTGCTAATAGCTAGCATACAGGTATGTTGGTTAGTATAAAAAACAAATAAAGTAGTTTAGGATATATATTTTATACTTTCAAATTCCATCGCCTAGGCGACTGAGCGCCCTGTGGTCGCCTAGGCGCCTTGACAACTATGCCCCTAGGTGGGTAAGTGATACCCATTTTTCCATGGGTCCTACATGAACGTGAAAACTAACATGGGAAAAACAGTCTAATGTAGCATGAATTTGTGATAACTTCGCAGCATAGAAGGGTTTGACAAAGTTCACTGTGATATCCAACGAAACATTGTATTTCAGGCCCTTGTGATATTCATTGAACTAAGGGGGTTAACAAAGTTCTAAATGAAAATTTGAAAATAACTTCACAGTATATAATTCTACTTTGCATATTGGGAGATAAAAATGCAAAAGATTTAGAACTCCCATCAACTTGCAGGGACCTAAATCAAGAAAATTCATCTTTAACATCAACACAAGGATAGCATGAAGTCGAACTTTAACAACCAAAAAGAAAAGTCAATTTTCAGTTTCCAAATAAATAACAACATAAACATAGGTTAGCTCCAATCTTTGTGGAATTGCTAAGAGTTAAAGTCCTTAAAGAATTGCCAACCCCCACTGGACCAGAATAACTCATTAAAATATTACCTTCATGATTTATGATCTCTAAGCATCCCCCCAACATCCAACTAGCATGGGTTCCCTACAGAACTACTATCACAGTTTAATTACCACAGAGATGGCATGATTTGACAATACAGAAACTACATGTCTCAGAGGAGAGAAACTAGCCACCATAAGTCACAACACTTTCAATACGAATTCAATTGGTACTCCTTGTCTTCACCCAGTGAACAACCCAGATCATGCATAGTTTAACAAAGTACTTGTGTCAGAATGTTTGTTCTCAAAAATGTATGCACTATTTTCACAATAAACACCCCATAATACTGCTGCCCTAGCACACTGCCAAAGTAATTTCACTCTTTTTGGTGGAAATGGAGCAGCAATGATGAGAGTTACTCTACCAGATCTGCAGAGGGCACCCAAGTAACTCCAAACAAATCAAGGAAAAAGTTCCACACTATTTTGGCAAAGGAGTACTCAAGAAATAGAGTTGCACTCTTGCCACTCCTGAAGCAGAGGATGCACATAAGAGGAGAAAGGCACCACTTAGACCTCCATTGAAGCATATCACACATGTTGATAATATTCAAGAAGGCTTCCCACCCAAAAAGCTTCACTTTGGGGGGGAACAGGTTCTGCCCAGATTTCTCTTGCTGAAAAGAAGGTGTTGAAAAATGGGACTCAGGATAAGAGATGAACATGGAAATCTGTTAGCTATGTTTTCAGGACCAATTGGGGAAGGGGATTCCTTGAGGGCTGAGATTCTTGCAGCCATTGAAGGGGTTCAAAAAGCCAAGGAGATGCAGATTAGAAAGCTGATTATTGAAGGAGATTCTGAAGTGGTGATGAACTGGTTAAAAGAAGATAACTCAAGGATATGGAAGTACAGCAATGAAAAACGAAAATTTAAGTGGCTGGCTAAGGATGTTGAAATTCAGTACAAATGGGTTAAGAGAAGTGCAAACTCTCTGGCAGATGGTTTAGCCAGGCAAGGGGTTAATAGAAACTCTTTGTTTTGGGCTTTATTGTAATTGTATTTGCTGCTCATAGACTGTTTCAGGGAGCTAAGATTGTTTAGCCCCCCCCCTTGCTTTGTAATTCTTCTTATCTTTAATGAATACATTTCACAGTTATTGATCAAAAAAAAAATGGGACTCAGGATCAATTATCAAAAAAAAAATGGGACACAGGATGAAAAAGGAAAAAAATCAAACGACAAACCCAAGGTCACAGAGCATATGGAGAAATCTGCAGGGCAGTGCTACAATGCACAGAGGGGATAATTTCATGGAAAAGGACTTATTTGAGAATAGAAAGGATAGCATGTTGCAAGCAGACAATAAGGAGAAAAAAATGCAGTGATCTCTAAGTAAAGGGAAGCCTTCAGGAACTCTTAAGTGGGAGTAGGAGTTTTTATGCCTGTGCAGTTATCAACAAGTAGGGGTGCAAATCAGGCCGGTTAGGTTGTTTTGAGGTCAACCCAAGATTCTGAACCCCCAACCCGCCCTAGTCAACATTTTTTTGAAAGGTAAGAATTTGTTGATTAAGAAAGAAAAGGGTACAACCAACCTAGTCAACATTAACCCTAACCAAACATAAAATGCCTCACCCTTAACTTTAGGTTGGGTTTTCGAACCAACCTTTCTCCATCTAAAAATCTCATCAGTGTTCCAAATTCTCTTAATCTTTGACTAAGAGACCTATACAGAACTTTTATGACCATAGACTAACCATATTTTTTATTGGCATTTGCTTGTTTGATGTTTTTATTGGTTTTTTAGTACAAAAATGAAAAAAGGAATTTCAAATTATTAGTCCATTATGAATTTTTTTATCAATATTAGAGTCTATTATGAATTATAATAGATCTTCTATTGAAGATTTAAAATCATGAAATTAGTAATAATAGAACGAAAATCACTAATAACAACTTGTCTTTAGGGTTAGGGCTTAAGAGTTGGGACAAACCGGTAAATGGACTAACAAAATAGTGACAATAGAGTCAGGTTCAGGTTCAATCGGATTGCCCAAGGGATCAACCCTAACCCAGCCAGAAGAGAAGTCAGGTTGGCAAAATTCAACCCTAACCCCAACCCAACCTTTTCAGGTTGAGTTCACGCTAACCCAGCCCATGTTGCAGCCCTATCAACAAGTTGTTGCATGAAAGATTTATTAGAAAAATAAATAAATAAATAGGGCCACTATCCAATGTTGCTCCCAGCTATACAGGGCCTTGGTAAGGTGGACTGGATAAGGACCTAACTTTCTAGCATTATCTCGTGCAAAGTGGCCACTCTCAACTCAAACCCACATTCTCATGCTTGACAGCCCAGGATTTTACCATTGCACCAAGAAATGCCCCCTATGTTTAGAAAAACAAATAAATAGATAAAACAGCAACCTCTCACAAAAGGAAGACGAAGGAGTTGTAAGTGGTTTGGTTAATAGCCAATTTTGGGACCAAATAGGAAAAATAAAGAATAGCATGCAAGCATTGCAAATAATAGAACTTAGAATTTTTACCTCAACAAAGCCACACCATTGATTAAGCAAGCGAAATCTTCCTGCCAAAACTAATCGCCAAGCTGCTATAGCCCTGCTTACAGCTAAATTTTTCAAATTGAAATTTTTTATCAGTAATTTTCAAATTGAAATAGGTAAACAAGCACAAAAAGAGAGTGAAGAATGCATAATAAATTGAATTAGGAGACATGTTCTGCACAGATATTTTCAGAGGCATCTTCTCAAAAAAAGGTTAGATTGAATTAGAGTTATGAAGATGACTTACTTATGTTTTTTTGACCATTTTCACGGCACATGAAAAACACAAAGTCATAGAAGCGTGCAAATTGACAAGAATCTACCTATAAAAGAAAAGGGAAGCCAATAAAGTTCATCAATAACCACATATTCTCAATCCTAGTGAACAAAAACAACATGAAAAGAACAGAGAGGAAATGGCTAAAGCCCTTAAAGATTAAAAAGATAACACTGCTTAATGAAATTCTACACATTTGTAAACTTCACATAACTTGAAACAAAACTCACCATCAAGTCTAAACGTGACATGAGCTTTGAAAGGTCCTCAAAAATTAGCCTGTCACTGGAAGAAAACCTAAACATTAACAGTGATATTATAGATTAATCCTCTAGGTTAATCTCATAAAGGGTTTTCAAATTACTTGCACAAAAAGATGAAAATGGTGGTGGAAGAGGCATAAAGATCAATTCTCTCCAGACAAATCCTTCTATTTATTTTCTTATATATAGCTGAAAAGTAGAACTAAACAAAATGTACTGAATGTAATACTCCCATTTATTTGTATATGAGCTTTCAAACTCAAGGTTCAGTCCAAGCTGCTTAGTGCAGATGTGCCTTAAAGTTTTTCTTATTTTAAGAAACAGTAGACAAGCAAAGCATGGTGATCTATTCAACCATTCCCCAAAGCCCAAGGGCAAGGAAAATGATAAAGAAACCCAAGTGGCCACCTACTCAAGTGATTTTTCATTTAGTCATTTACACCTCTTGAATGGACAATAAAATAAATAAGATGTTTAAAAAAGCCAATTTTTTTAATCTTGGAAACCATCCAACCCCAATTGTTTTCCCCCTCTATGATGACATCTATAGAGGAACAATCTCCATTAATGGCTATAGAAAATAGAGAAAAGAACCATAGAGAAAAATATATAAACTATAAAGAAACATGGGGGATAGGAAATAAATTGGGAAAATACATAAAACCATGAATAGAATGTTAAATAATTGGTTTGCTTTATTTAGTTTTTAAATTTTGACTGAAGTAATTAAGTTTCAATTAATTTCCAACTTGAACTAGAGTGCCAAGTTGAGTTTATTATCTTGGTATTCATAACAAAAGAACATACATTTTTATAAAGCATGTGCAGACTGCATATTTATTAATAGGCCCATACCTCTTTTGCACCCTTGACTCCTCCACTTGTTTCAAGAGTTTTGCTAATGCATCCCTCAAGCTGGCATATTTGTTTCCTGATCTAATGTCTGCATCAAAGTCAGGTAATCTACATTTATTACAATTGATAATAGAACCAAGAAACAGCATTTAAAGAGAAAACCAAGTAGCCTATCAAAAACACGACAAAAGCAGGTAGGATAGTAGCAGCACGAAATGAGTAATTTCCACACACACAACATTCAGATGGAAATGCTCGCTTAAGATGCATATTATTTTTGTATACATATTTTATAAGTAATTGTAAAGATTGCATTGCTAAATGTGGGATAGCTTCCCTTAACAGTACAAAGTTACAATGTCACAAAAGAAGAAAATATAACTATTCTCGAAAAGCTTGTAACTAAAACCTTCGAATTGCCTTAACACCACCACCCACCAGATCATTAAATGCTCCACTTTCCCAATGACGGCCACCTGATCCTTTTTCCCTTTCTTTTCTTTCCCTTTCTTTGGTGGGTAAGGAAGCCCATCATCACAATACAATTGCATCAACCAATTTAGTTATAAGGCTCAAACACTATAAGTATAATCCATAAGAAGACAGTTCAGGCTACACCAATATAAACATGATGAAAAGGCACTTTTTGGAGAAGTGGCTTTGATAGATTTTTTTTTTTCTTTTGAAAAGGCACTTCCCTGTTTTTTTAGGCCAAGCAAAGGTAGAAGAATCACATAGCATGCTAACCTCTAATCACAAAGTCCACCTGGACCGAAACAAAGAAAAAAGCCAATCCCATAATTCCGCAATAACTAAACAAGAAATAAGTAAATGATAGCAATCCTCACTGTTAGACTTACAAAGAACACACCAATTAGGTGAGATGCACAGGAAAGGTCTTCTCTTTTATAAGTTATCGTAGGTGTTTACTTTTCCATAGAAAACTTCCCAGTAAAAAGCACTAGCTTTAGAGGGAACAGGCCTACACCAACATCCTTAACAAGGAAATGTTGTGGACAAGGGGATTGGCGGAGGAATTTAAAGAAAGAGACACAAGAAAGAGACCCTTTGGAAGTTAGAGACCAAACCCTTTTGTTTGGTTTTGAGGGATCCACACAAACCTTACTGAGGGTACTAAACAAACTGAACAAGAAACCAACCTCCTCATCCCTTAAACCTCTAGAAAACCCAAAGTCCTAGGATGGAACCAGTAACTTGAGTGAGGATGAATCTGGATGTTTTAAAAGTGCAAGGGCCAATTTGCGCCTGAGGCGCAAGGCGAGGCACGCCTCTTTAAGAAAGGTGCAAAATTACAAAAAAAAAGCTAAAAAATAAAAAAAAAATCAGAAAATTCCAAAAAAATGCCAAAAAATTTTAAAAGAATGCAAAAAAAATTAAAAATATTAAACATAATGTTAATAAAAATATAAACTTAAACTTTAAAGTAAATGATTTAAAAAACCTATTATCTAAAATTAAAATACATAAACATAACATGTAAAGTGTATTCAAATGAAAATTTAAAAATAAAAGCAAACATATAAAGCATTTTCAAGCATGTAAAACCCACAATCTCTTTTTTTCCTTAATTGCATTGTTTCAAGTAGTTAATGTGATGTAAAACATATTGCATTCTTGATTCTATGAGTCGCCTTTTGTAGCACGCCCCTTGAGGCAAGCCCCAACAAGTCTATGTTATGGTCTGAAATTCTTATTTCTCACATAAAAAAATAATGATTTTACAACTTTCATTGCCTTTTAAGAAGATGTTTTATTGCAATTAATGAATGAACAACATAAGAAAATAGGGGGTTCTCGGACCAGCCGTTAGACTAAAAATAAAAGCAAAAAGCGCAAAATTTTAAAAAGGCACACGCCTGGGCTGAGGCGCAAGGCGCATCAGGCGCACGCCTAGAACCTAGGCGATGCGCATACCCCAAAATGTGCCTCGCCTGTGCGCCTAGGAGGCACGCCTTTTAAATCACTGACACAACCTCCTTTTTATACAAAGAGATAGAATATAGGGAAGGAAAAAAGACTTTTAAAGCACAGTTCCCAACCCAAAAAACGAATAGAATTTCCAAAGCACACATCATACTTGACATACCTAAGAAATTTAGGAAAAATACTATGAATTTCCTTCCACGGTGTTGCCAACAAAGCCCAACAAGATACACCAACATCCCAACCATTCTCTAGACAATCATGAATACTACCCACCACTTCATGCCACAAACTCCATCTTTCCAAAAGCCACCTCCACAACCATTTTCCTAAAAGTGCTGCATTCTTTTGTGCCATATTTCCTATTCCTAGACCGCCTTCCTCTTTATTTTTTGCACACGATCTCCCACTTAATTAGATGGTCCTTCTTGCTTTCCCCCAACTCCCACAAAAAGTCTCATAAATTTCTATAACTTCTTGGTTTCTCTAGGTGGGATCCTAAAGATAAAGCCAAAATAAGTTGGCAAATTGGCAAGAGTAGCCTTGACCACAGTAAAATGCCCTACCAATGAGATGCAGTTCTTCTTCCACAAGGCTAATCTCTTCTCAAACTTTTCTACCACTGGGTTCCAAAACCTACTCTCCCTAGGGTTTGCTCCTAAGTCCTAACAGAAGGCCTAGGAAATTCAAAGGCCAGTTAGAGATAGAACACTCTAAGCAAGCCGCAGCAGCATTAATTTCCCTATCCTCCATATTAACCCCTACTATACAACTTTTGCCCAGGTTAATTTACAGATTAGAAAGCCTTTCAAACCTTCCCCTCATTTCAACCTCATTACAACCACAAATGAACAATAGCTCCACCACAACAAAATGCATGTTCAAATAATGTCTGTTTTATTCATAAAAAAAAATAAAATGTCTGATTTTGGGAAGGTGGCAAAGAAATTGTGAGTAGTTCAATTATGCTTGTAGAGAGCACCATTTGATTGATTCAACTTTGCATGTTTAAGGTGTCTTTTTTGTCACTTTGAAATTTCTGTTATTGTGAGGCAGCTTTTGTTGAAAGAATTGTAAGAGTTGAGGGTTTGGGGCATTTTCTTTTCTCTTCTTTTTTATTGAATTTTCTTCTCTCTTCTTCACTGTGGATCAATTCCTTAACACCCTTCCTTGCACTCCTTTATTTTTCTTTTAATAACTTTTAGTTAGTATAAATAAAATGCATCAATTATAGGTGGCACCCAATGAAAGATATGGATGCTAGCTTTGTTACAATGGACAATTGAATTAATAAAAGCTAACAACGATGCAACATTTAATCCTTAGTAGCTTTACCAAAGGACTAACTCCCATGCAGCACTCAGAAAAATTTTTAGTTCAGAACTCGAGATTCATGTAGAAACTAGAAGTTCTTTTTCACTTAGATTTTTTTCATTTTCCCCTTCTGTACAGCTAAACTGAAAAACAAACCTCATCATTGCAATACAATTGCATCAACAAATTCAAGGTTTAGGTTATAGCCTTCCAAGTAGAAATTAATAAGAGACTTTAATGACAATAAAAAGGAGTGAAAATCGTCAATGTCCAAAGAAAGAAGTCAAAGGAGGAAAGCAGATCCAAGATCATCCTTTTTCTCTTGGGTAGCAAATTTATGACAGTCTTTGATATCGCCGGCATCCCACCAAAAAGAGTGTCACCACAAGAGAAATACAGCCGTCCCAGGTGGCACTCGGCCAGAGGAAAACATTACTTACAATGGTAGTGAATTAAAAGCTAACCAAGTTTCCAATCAAACCTTTGAGATGCGTTCCCGAATTTCTCCTTTTTAGGAAGACCATGGTTAGATAGCTTAATAACATCTTTCACGAACTCAAGCTAAGTCAACAAATTTTCGAGCATTACACAAACAAGAAAAGTTTGCAGTATTTGCTTGTGCATTTGCCTTAAATGTCTACCACAAAGATTCTAAGACAAACCAAAAAAAAAACCCTAATTATAAAACAAGCTATGCATGTCAACTTAAAATAACAAAGACAAGAATGGAAGCTCTTGACGGCAGAATTCTGTGACGATAACGTAAGACACTCGTCAAAAAATTGACAGTACAATTATCACCAGCGTGTTATCCACAAAATATCACCAAGCATCAAAGACATAATTCAAATTACTAGCTTGCTCACCATAAAGAAATTGAAAAGCTTGAAACCTTTCAAGGAAATACTTTCCTCGTCCAGTAGCGATTATAGATTAATCAAGAAAAAAGAAAAAAGAAAAAAGAAACAAACAACAACAAGATAGTTACCAGAGCGCATAAGCAAATAAAGGAAACCCTAAATTCATGGATGAAAGAATCGACAAAATTTTGATTACCGCAATATCTCCTGTAAATCTCGAAGATATCGATACGATTGGGACCAGGAGAACCCATCGGCTAATGACAATTGCGGCTCGTGCGAGCTAGGGCTTCAAGAATTGAAGAAATTCTTCTTAGCTTTCATGCATGAAGGCCCTGAGCCAGGCCGAGGCAAGCTGAGCTTGATAACACTATCTCCCTCTCCCGCTATACCAGATTTTTGAGTTCCATCCGAGGGTCGATAAACAGAGATAAAAGGGAGACTGATCCCTCTTGTCTATGACGGTGGTGAAATGAAACGAATCAACGATTCCGTATCTTTCTGACAACCCGTTTACGTATCCGGTCCGACCTGGACGGGTATTTCGCCGTGCAACACAGCAAATCTGCAACTGGAGTCTGGACCAGGACCAATGATCAACGGATCGGGCCAGGCGCACCCGTGACCCGACCATTGTTTTCACAATTCCACACTCAAAAGTGGCAGTGGCACTCCTTCCAAACTGAGCCCAAATTTTACTCAAGGGACCATACATTTCGAATTCCAATATTTTGGAACAACCATACTACCACAATACAAAATACCACCAAGGACATAATAAATTGAAAATTGCACAATTTTAAATATACCACCGTGAGGCCTGATAGTTTGGAACACATCACTCTTGGAAATGGAAGCCAATTTTTCCTTCAGATTGTTGTTCAATCAATTGTCCATGTCAACCCATGACAACATTAATAGGTAATAAATAATTAAATATATAAAACTAGGTAAAAACGATAAAGAAAAAAAAAATTATAGAAAATGTGAAAAACAAAAAAGTTGAATGTGTCTCTAATATTATACATTTATCATGGTGAATAAAATTAAGTATAAAAATGTTATAATTAATGATAAAAATGACTAAAAATACAGAAAGGAAAATTAATTTCTAACTCATGACCCATTGATCTGGTTGAACGAGTCAATGATTCAACCAGTTGTATGCCTCTAATATTATAGACTCATCCTATTGAACAAAATCAAGTGAGCATTGTACATAACTACAAATTACTATTAATGATTAAAATGACTAAAACTACAACCAAAAAGGAACAATTGTTTAACCCAGGACCCATTAACTGGGTCACACGAATCAACAATTCAATGATTGGCCGGGTCATTCGACCATGTCCGTGCTTCTTTTTATTATTTTCTTTAAAAATATGGCTTGGTGGTGAGTCAACCAATTTAATTAGAAGTTTAAAAACATTGGAAAATTCATTGAACCACTTGAATGGTGATCGTGGCACTGGCATTACATAGATAGCATGACAAGTAGGGATAGGGATAATCATTTCTGCCCCCATCTGCATTACATAGCCAAGCCTGGACGCAAAATTTTTCATCCTAAATCCCAAGTTTGCATCAAGCTTGCATATAATGCGGGCCGGGCCCAATATTAGGCCTGAAAAGCCTACTCCTTAATATGTGTAATATACAATAAGGTAATATAATATAATACAGTATTAGAATTTATATGTATGTATATTATAATATATTATTGATGGTGCGCAATCCGGCTAGTCCTAACTGTCAACGACCTTGCCTCTAATTGGAGCAACAGGGGAGCCTGAAATGGAGAAAAAAGGGGAATCTTCGGGGAGGAACCCGGCGAGATCACTCCGAAGCTCAAGTTAGTATTCTCTCAAAGGCAAGATAAAACCAGATGGCGCAAAGTTCACATACCTTGTCCTCAGGGGGTAGAAAGCCTTTTATAACCACTTCGCGCACTCACTCCGAGGCTTCTGTCAAGTCGGGTATGATTACTTATGTGCTTCTGCCAGTTCAGGTGTCATCACCTCTGTTGGGACAGAACCGCCACTGCTCCTTGTCGGAGCCGTCTCTGTAACTGGAGATGGCGGTGGCAGGTGGCGGTGGCAGGTGGCCATTGGAATGCGGCTGTCAAGCGTCAGATCCCAAGTCAGTCAGGTGCGCCGCCCCTGGATACGGACTCCTTCGGTGTCAGGTACGGTTTGTTCAGTTCGGTGTCCTGGGGGCGAAGTGCTGGAGTGGTGTGCAAGGCGAAGTCTTGAGTTCAGACAGAGGTGTGGCCCGAACTGCCGTGGGGCAGGCCAGTTCGGGTTGTTGCCCTGTGTGTTCATAAGGATCAGGGCCTAAGGGAGAGCTCAGGCTCCTTGTAGGGAGTTCGGACCGCTGGTTCCTCCTTTCGGAGCTCGTGCCTTGGCGAGCTGTTGTGTAGAGCTGTTGCCTTTGCCACGTGTTGAGTGGTTACGAGGTCGGGCCAAATCTTCCTTCATCAATTGCCCCCCACTCCTCGTGCTAAGGGTTCTGCCTTGGTGCGGGGAGTTCGCGAGGTGGCGGGTGGATTTGTCCCGTACTTCGAATTGGTTAACTGATAGCGCGAGGTGCGTCGCCAGGATTCTTTTGGGTTTCTCGAGCGCCCAAAAGACGGGAAATGCTCTGCCTACAAATGCTGATAGACGTGACAGCGCGCGCCTTATTTCAAAATTCAAAAAGCGTGTCACTGGGAGATGCGACAACGGGCGTCTTTTCAAATTTGAAAACGTGCTGCTGCCGCCTTTAATGTGAGGAGATGTGCGGTCAGTTTCGAGAGACGTGTGGCCAGTCATGTCTTGGTCTTAGGAGACGTGCGGTCAGCGCGCCTGCGGGCCATCAGATTGGCTTTGATCTAAGCCGTTGATTCTCGGTTACTGTGGGTATAAATAGTGGGGGACCCCAATAGCTTTTGTCACTTCTACGCTTTGCTTCTTGAGCTCGCGTCCAAGTTTTAGTTCGCGTCCAAGCTTTTAGTTCGCATTCAAGGTTCTTTGCTCGTGTTCAAGTTCCCGTAGTCCGTTCAAGCCTTTTTCCGGGTGAGTACTTTTCTGGAATCCATCTTCTCTCCCCGATGTCTAGCTCGAACAGCTCAGACGGTTCTTCAAGGGGGTCAGATGCAGGTTCTACGAACCGAGTTGCATCCCCTGATGGTCCTAGCGAACCGGGGGTAGAGCTCGAGGAAGAGCTCGAACCCGTAGGCCGAGTCGCCTCGGGTAGTTTGGTCCCCCAACCATGACGCCTGAGGGGCTCCAATCCCTTATTACCTATTACAACTTGCCTGGGGAGTACGCCTACTTCATACCTTCGGGTAGCTTTCCTTGGGAACACGGCCCTGAAGAGATCGTGAT